GGGCCCTCAGCGCCCTGTGCCTCCCTGGCAGCCCTGAGGCCCTCCTCTCACTCTGCTGTGGGCCCAGCTCAGCACACAGTAGGCACTCAGGCTGCGCTTGACTGGAGAAGAGGCAGTGAGGGGACACCGCGCAGGGATCAGTGGCCCCCGGCCAGCACCTCACGGGAGGGAGGGACGGGCCCACACACAGAGCCCCGGGGTTATTTAAACGTCTGAGAAACAGCTGCCCCCGCCCCCACCAGTGTCTGGGAGCCTCCTCCCCAACTATTTTTATTTTATCAGAAAGTGTGAATCGGTTCCCTGAGCCCCCCACCCTCAGGACCCGGCGCCCAGGGACACAGGAGCCAAGCTGGCCTGAGAGGTTCACTCCAGGGCAGTGGAGCCTGGGGGCCACTTGGCAGGGTCAGCAAAGCCTCGGCTGGCCCCGGATATGGAGGTGGGGCTGGGGAGGGGGCTGGGAACCGGAGTGGTAGCAGCTGGGGAGGGAGGGCCACCCTGGCCACTCTGCGAGCAGGCCGGGACGTGCCCCTTCCCTCCTGCAGAGCCCTCTCCGAGGGGCAGGCGGCTTCTAGCAGGAGAGATGAGAGTTTCGTGGGCAGGAGCCAGGCCCCACCTCGCCGACCTCAGCATCAGGAGGCCAGAGGAGCCAGCCCTACCTTGCTCTGGCCCCTGGGCTGCCCCCTGGACACCTGCCCTTTCCCGTCCTGAGCACCAGACCCAGGGAGCCAGGGTTGCCGTGTGTGCCCGAGGGTAGGGACAGGCTCGAACACCCAGCCACGCTCTGTCCGCCGTGCCAAACGACCAGCCCCAGGGCTGGGCCTGTGCTGTGCACCTCCCCACGGAGGCCCCTGGGCACCTGTGGCCTGGGCGGGGTTCCTAGTGCCATAATCTACCACAGGGAGGGCCAGAGGGACCCTCCGGTCCTGTCACCCAGCCAGGAGGGGAGTATTCATTGTGGGCGCAGCATCCACAGCAGTCCCAGGCTCCTGTGGCCGTGGGCACATGTGGAAGGGGTGTTCTCTGAGGCTGAAGCCTTCAGGGCTGGGGGCCTACCCCTGGAGAAGCCCCTTCCAATGCAGCAGGCCCTCATTTGTCA